TGTTCTGCACGAAAAGCGCGTCGGTGCTTAGCGAAGCGGTGTGCAACCTGCGGCCTGTCCAAAGATGCCGACAGCGGAAAGTGGGTGCGCTCTTCAGGGCGCCATGGGTGAGCGTCGCCTTTCTCCCCAAAGAGGAAATCCCCGAGCGCGGGGCTCCCCGGGTGCCTGCTCCCGGGATGCCTCTGCAGGTACCCGACAGGAGGAAGCCGCAGGGAAAGCGGAGGAGAACAAGTGTGCACGCACAGGAGGCGGTGGGAAGGTGATGTATCTCTAGGCGTGATTTGTGAAAGGGGGAATAAATAAAGGAAGTGCGTTGCAGGCAGCAGCCGTGCCATAACCGAACCAGCTGCTTCTCGGTACAACTTGAGATTTGTCAAGCTAGTCCATGGATGGGTTACTTAAAAGGAAACCTGTCAATTATACGCCCTACAGGGAGCGCGCGGCCAGGAGAATGGATAGACTTGAGCTTGCAGAGTAATTGCAGACAACCTAAATCCTGTGTTATCCCCTCAGAACACCTGACAGGGCGTGGGTGGTAGGAGCGCAGTTACCTCCTTTCCCACTCAGGCTGCAGGGCGAGAGTCACCCAGCGTCATACTGGGGGATGCACTTGGCGCAGCGCAGGCTTACTTGGCCTCGGAAGGAAGATTCCCTCGGAATTACAAACGCTTTGTGCTCACGCAGGGAGTATAAGCGGAGAATAAAGCACGCAGAACGATAATGCAAGGCCTCTGCCTGCCTGCTTCATTAGCACGTCAGGAAGGGGATGAAAGGAGAAGTGGAGTAAGAAAAAGCCTAGACGCCGCTCATTAAGTCCATGTATTTATGGTTGATCTTGACCTTATCTGATTAAGAGGCAGAGCCTTCCCCTCTCGGGCTCGTTCTTGAGCTGCAGAAACAACGCGGATGACTCGCAAAAGCCCTTATAGGCTCGATGGGGACCGGGTCACCTGAAACTCTGGGTTACAGATAATTTATCCTGTCATTCTGGCAGCTTATGCAATGGTCACGTTCATGCTGCCACGTAGACTCTTGGGTCCACAGTTCAGCACTAACTTGCTGATTGTCCTTGCCGCTCATGGGCGTGCGGACGCGCCTTCGGATCAAGGCAAATCACGCTGTGAGACATCGGGGCTTGCTGGAGGGGCCAGGGAAGAGGCCGGAGCGCAGCTGGTGGGGAATGCGGCGTGCGCGCAGGCAGTGGTTTTCCTGGGTTGTCAGTCAGGCCCTTACACCCGTAACACAGGGCTGGGCATGCACAGACAGCCAGCGCGGTTTATGAAACCTTTTCCCGTTGTCAGTCAGCTCTTCTGCTGCAGCGTTTTGAGGGTACGCTGCAAAGGCAGAAAAGAAAATGTAGTCTTATAGATCCAGATAGCACATATGCCACTTGGGAAAACTCCCAATTATCAAGTAATCTTCCTCCTAAATAAAAAGGAGCAAAAGAGTTATTTTAATGTCTGATATTAATGGAGTGAATGCCACAAATCTTCTTCATAATTCATTAAAATATAGGGACACAAATATTTTTATCTCAAATGTAACGAAGCTGTGAGGATACTCTACTTATGTAGAATCTTTAAGCAAAAGACTTCAGTAGGAGTCTTCCTTCTTGGCACCTCTGAAAATAGATGTGTTGTTTTCTTTGGTATTTTAAATCTATGAAAACAATTTCAGTTTAACGATTCGACTGAAGCTTAGCTCTCATATTAACCAATTTATTCGTTAAAGATAGGAATCGTGATTTTTTTTACATTCGGGTCAAGGATTTTTTTAAATGAAATTCTTTCTCATTAGGAAAGAGAATTCTGAACCATCTGTAATTGCATTTGTGTTCTGAAAGTAGCTAGAAGATGAGAAAAGTATGTGACTGCACAGAACATTTTATCAAAGGTTCCCAAAGGGTGGGCAGTGGAGCACGCGCCTCGGTGTCCCACCAGTTCAGGAACTCTCCGTAGTGAAACCTTAGGACATTTTCCTTGGAGGGTCACAGACAGCAGCATCCACAGCCTCCACCAGGAGACTGACCAAACTGAAAATCAAGTACATGTCGGACACTTATAGTAAGGAGAACAAAGAGCAGGTGGTGAGTCTGGTAGACTGTTTTAAATAAGCGTTGGACAGACAGAAAATTTGCTTTTGGTTTTTCCACAAACAGTTCAAACTGATGTAGAAATCTAGGGTTGTGCTGAAAGGTTATAGTAGATCAGATTATCTTACTTAAAAAGCTGTGAAAACATCCACCTTTAAAACAGTTACTGGCAGTGTTCTGGATGTCCTTTTTAGCTGGTAAGTACAGTTGGATGGTTCTGTCTCTGTCTCTCCTTCCCCCTCCGTCAGAACAGGATAATTCTATTCATCAAGTCCCTGTAGAAACTGAGAAGAGGCATCTATCTCCGGGAATCACTAGGCGTTTGCTTAGGGCTTGTTCCCTCTCTGCACGTGATGCCATTTTTGCTATAATCAGTTTCACTCAGGTACCAAAGATTTTACGTACGTCACACCAGCGTGTTGGACTTAGGAATTCAGATCACTAAAACGCTCCCGTATCGTTCCAAAAAAGGTCAAAAAGAAACCACTTCAGCAATCTTCAGGTTTAATGGTAAGTATTAAAAGGCGATGCATTCCAAACTAAAACCCCAGGAGATGCACCAAAACAATGAGAAAGCAGTTAAACAACGATTGCTTTTTGCATGCTATGTTTAAATAGCTCAGAGTAAATCCTGGTAAAGATTAAATATGTATTCTTTGTGGTTACAGTATCCTCCTTTCCATGGACTGTGCCTCTCAGGCAAGTATGACTTTTTTGAATGTCAGACATTGGCAGATATGCTGTCTTCCAAGTCATCTTAATCTGACTGATAAGCCAAAATTTTGTCCTTTATCTTAAATCTTTTCTTGTAGTTGATGAAAATACACGTTTTCTTGCATTTATTACATCTCTATACACTATTTTCCTCCTTTCAAAGTTGCAGAATGCTCCTGTTTCTGCTTGTAGTTCCATAAAGCCTATTGAGCCTGGTCAGCATTACATACTCCATTGTGTCAGACCCAATATATGGACAAAGTAAGAGAAAGGAAGAGAATCCCTGTCCTGAAGAGTGTACAGTCTACAACGGAGGGCTCTCCAGACTAGAAGCTGGCAATGAACAGAGGCTGAGAGAGCTCAAGTCCCTCCTGAATCTTGTTCTTCAGCAGATTTTAGTTGCTTCAAACCTAGACCCAAGTTGAACAGGCTGTAGGTCTACACTGTAAAGCCTGTATTTTTTGCCTAGAGTCCCAATGAAAAACCTAACCTAATCGTGGACTCCACTGGATGTGAGGGTCGCACTCTCCCACCGACTCGGCTCACTGCGTGGAGAGGCATGAGAAATTCCTGGGTCTGGGGAGAACGAATCCAAGAAGCCTCGCTCAGCAGTTGCTGGTTGCAAGGGAAGTCATCCAGGATGGAGGACTACCGTGCTCTGGTATTTTCCTGTGCCCAGGATCAATTCTGCTTTAAGTAGACTATAGTGTAAAATGTACAACTAAATCTCAGGAATAAAGCACAGTACTCCCTAGCCCTTCTAGTTACGCTGTAACCATGAGATAACTAACTCAAGCTCCACCTTGCCTTCTCTCTCTCTCTGTTATGCAAGTGTAGAAATCCAAACTACTGGTAACACACCTAGCTGGACGTTCTGCCACTTCATAGTTTGTTTCCTTGTAAGTATTTGTTCTATTCCAGACTGTGAAATTATGTCAGTCTGAAAAGGATAGCAAATCAGTTTCCATGGTACATAGCTCATTCTCTAGAGCTAACTAACTGTCCCTCCACAAAAATCTTCTGGCTCTGATGCTTTTTTGTTTTTATGGCTTGTGCAGCCCTGAAGATGACTTTCTAAAATATTGAAAGTCCTTTCTTGCTTAAAAAGAAGAAACTTCTTGCACATTAAAACCAACATGAAGCAGACTGGGACTTTGGAGCATGTTGATTTGCAACTCCCTTAAGCTCTACAGAAAACCTCTTTTCTGATTTGCTGCTCCAGTTTAAAACAGGAATTTCTCCTCCTCTCCTTGACTCTTGTGAGTGGGTGACATGTAGCTAGCTGGAAGGGAGAGATATTAGTTTTTGTCTTACCTCCTACTCCAAAGTTATTAAATACTCTCCTCCACTTAATTAAGATTTCCTATTCACGGAATCCACTCAGTAGGCCCATGGTACCGTAGTTTAGCCCAGACTTCCTATTCAAATAGACTCACCCTCGCAATGAAGACAACCACAGCATAACATTCCGAGCAAAGGATGGTATGTGTCTGAAACTCAGGAGGCTCAGCTGACCTGTTACCACGAACAGCCTGCATTGCCACAGACAGATTGGCCCGTTCCCTTTCTACGTCTGGAATACGGCAAATCACACTCTCCTTCCTTTGGGTGGTTTCCTTTAGGATTGGATTGGAATCTTTCAGGAAAGAGGCTGTCATTTTTGCATGGGCTCAGGTTTAGATGAGAAACTCCAAAGATCAGTGATGCCAAGAATACATGTTCGAGTTTAGAAAATCTGGCCAAATTCAGATACTATCTGTGTGTAGGCACGTACATAGAAACAGCCTGATTTTCAAAAGGTTTTGCAGGTGCACAGCTTGATTGACTTGAATAGGAAGAGTACTTTTAAGACATTCTGGAAAAACATCAGGCATCTTTTGGGCCTAAATATGGACTTTGGATATGTGCCTTTTGGTCAACGAGCCTTGAAGTAGAGATTATCTGGGCGGTTATGTGAGAGCTAGTGTTCTTCTCCTGAAAGCCTCACTAATCTTAGGTTGGGTTTCCTAAAGTGATTCTTTAGATCCCCTGCTATATCTTTTAATCTTTCTCCTAAAGATCCATTTTCCCAACACAGAGATCAGTGAAAATCTCTTTGACATCCAGTTCTGCTTTCTATATTTACTCTCTGCCTGCCGTAGCATAGTCTAACACCCCTCTTCCTAAACTGTGCTTGCACTGAGCTCTGTTTTGACAGTCGGAGTAATTTTTCCCTTCCAGATCAAACATCAGCTGCTTTTTCCTAATGTGTCTATGCATGGACACGCTGAGGAAATGCAATGTCTTTCTCCTTCTGCTGTTCTATTCTTACTTGTGCCTTGTCCTAGATTTCCATCTAAGGACTGTCTTTCCCAGGTTACCTGAGCTGCATTGTCTAAGCAAATATACAATATATTTCGTATGCACGCTTATAGCACTAATTTTTACCACAAACATTTCAGGCAAGGAAGACCAAAGCAGATTCAAGTACCCTGAGTACACAGCTAGGCAGGTTGTTTCTCAGGAGGTAGGAAATTTTCTGAAAAAGTGGCATAAGGAGATAATGAACTGTTCGCTATTTGGGTAGAATTTTGTGAATTGATTCAACCCAACAAAGCAGCAGGAAAATTTGTGGAAAATATTAGAACATTTCCCATTCGGGAATGCCAAAATCTTCTATGAAACAATTCTTTCGCTTGAGGGCAAACAAAACGTTTTGAGCTGACCCTGGGCAAAATCTTTTTATGTTTTACTGTATCTTCTCTTTGGAAAAGTCTGTTTCAGTTTAACTCAAGCCAGTTTTTCTCCTCTTGACTTTTGATTTGGCCACAGCACCGAAAGAAGCCATTATTCTGTGATCTCTGCCTGTTTGTACACACAGGCTGGCTTCACCTGGAATCCTTGAAGTGCGTGAGGCAAATGGCTGGAGAGAAACCTTAAGCCTTGCAAGCTAAATTCTGTGTTTCAGAATTTAGAGTTTTAGTTTCAGTTTAGAGAAATCCGTTGTCTAAAGTTTAATGGCTGTATTTCTGAAGCCCTAATGAATTCAGGGATATGTGGAGCAAGTATTCTTGCTCTGCTGTGCAGGATGCAGTGGCGGAAGCAAAATGACTTTTTTTTTTTTTTAATTAGAAAAGGTAAAGCTGAGAAGATCAGGGAACAGCTTTTACAGTGATGCCAGGCTTTAGTCTGTGTTAAGAGTTAGGTTATGTAAAAATAAACCTGAGTACAGACACCTCCAGCCTTAAGTAGAAACAGATGGGGTGTGCAGCTACTCAGCCCATCTGCAGATCAGATCATGTGCAAGTACAAAAATATTGATAATTAGCTTTTACAGAGGTCTCTCTAATCCATTGATCTTGAAGCGTTTTACAAGGAGGTCAGTGTCCCATGGGGCTAGTTCCATTTTAAGAAGGAGAAATAAAGCCACAGAATGATGGAAAGGCCTGGAGCAACAGGGCAACGGCAGGAAGAAGAAGGAAGTCGAGGGTGCCTAATTCCAGTGGCCAATTTTTTGGTCCATTTCCTCTCCTCTGTCCACTAACATTTGGGGCAGTAGAAAAGAGGTGAGTACACGGGAAACTGCCGCATTACTCGGACAGCAGCCGGTCTGTATCTAAAGTTATGAGAGGTCCAGTGTCAAGGATTGCTGTGTGACAGACTGCTGAATAATGATTTATTCTCTTTGATCACACAAGTTACAAGTTCTGTGTGCTAAATTGCTGAGTTTGAGTGTTTGCTCTGCAAATGAGACATGCACTGAACTTTGTTTCTTTCTCTGTTTAAACACCAACTTCATTATGTAATATTGTTTACAAAACAAAGTATTTTTACAAATATTTGTTTCTCTGTTTCTAACATGTTAGAAAAGCTTACAGAGGTCTGCTTTACAAACTAATTCAAAAAACTGTTTCACCCTTAAGTATCGTTGTGAATGAAATCCTGGATTAGCAGTTCTTGGCAGGGGTCTGGAAGGACCACGATACCATGAAATCATCGCAGTAGCTTTGTCACAGAAGATCAGAAAGAAAAAGAGTTCAGCCCAAGGGTTTCTACAGCACCTTCACCAGGGTGACCAAAGGACCCCTGAGAACAGCTTTGCCACCACGAGTACAGGAGGCTACAGCTGGATGGGCATCGCACCCATGCTCCAGACCCTGTGTGCAGAGGAAGGAAGAGAGGCACTGTTACCCACTCTGCCTCACCAGAAACCTAGGCTTGGAGATCCGCTAGAAGGTGTGACAAAGCTATCATTTGCCTCAGACATGTGCAAGAAATCTTAAAAAAAAAAAAAAAAAAAAAAAAAAGCATAAGTAGAATTGTCAAGGCTGGCCAGAGATGGGCTGCAAACTTAGCTATTTCAGTGCGAGCCAGGCTACTATGTACTTCTTAGTTACACTGCTGGTCACCCTAGAAATACCCTCAGTCAGGATTTGAGGACAGAAATGAGAATGTTTTCAAAAGCAGCGTGTCACTCACAGCTTTACCGTACATCTACAGATACGTGCTCTGAAGGCAAGAACAAGTCAGCACGGCTTAATCAGCCTTTAGTCAGCACGTCAGCTCCAAACTGCGAGCACTCTACACTTGAACGAAAAAGCATTTCCAACAGTTGAGGTTGTTAGCACTGCACAGCGCTCACATGAACCGTTCTGTGGCTTTGGGCTAAAGGGCTTTCACTTTCTGGCAGCGAGTTGTGTCAGAACAAGCTTTGCTGCCAATAAATTTCTGCTTGTGAACACTGGAATCGTGCTGCGTTTCAGGGCGCTGGGCTCCTTAGCACCAAAAACTGTTGTTATGTGCGGAATAGAGTTCTCCAAGAGTACAAAATAATAAAAAAAATTACCGTAGCCATTGACCTTACTTGATTACTCCACCCAATGCTGCACCCATGTACCTGATTCTGGCTGATTTCAGAAGGAATTGAAGCTCAAATCTTGGAAAAGGAACCAAGACTTAGGCTCCTAAATTAGTCAGGCACTTTGAAAATATTACCCCTTAGCCTTTAGACTGTTTAATATAATTTTCACAAAGCTGCTCATAGCACATAGTGGGATTACAGTAATTAAAATATCATGGTACACCACATTTGCAGTAAGATGTAGTCTCCTAGATCATGTTATTCATAAATAACTTAAGATGGCTATAAAGTGAGTGATTATTAAATAGCACTGAGACTTATATAGTCCAGGTAATGGCCACAATTACATTGCTTCGTTAAACAAAACATGCCTGCACTTATAAGTGGAAAAGACAAAAAGATAACACAATTAAAAAGTTGTTTCCAAGGGTTCAAGTCACTAGTGTTGCGTCACCTAATGGTGGTGGTTTTACGGTGAAAAATGCTTGTTGAGACTTTTCTCTTCCATAGGTTTCTGGGGGCTTGTCAACAATGCAGGAGTATCAACATTTGGCGAGACAGGGTGGCTGTCTATGGAGAAATATGAAAAATTTGCAGATGTGAATCTCCTTGGGAGCATCAGGACAACCCTGGCATTTCTTCCCCTTCTCAGGAAATACAAGGGTAATGCTAATCCACTGTTATTTAGAGTGGTAGAATAATTAGCTTACTATAATCAGGGTAATGTAGCATCTATAAAAGAAGCTTTAATTGTCTCTCATTGAACTGAAATGACAGCTGCCTCCTGTGTGGCCTGAAAGAGCAACTTGATCCTGAAAAGAGGGTAAAGTCATAAGGGGAAAAAAATACCCTTAAAGATTCTGTCATTACAATACATAGGAAAAAAAAGGTATTTGCAGAAAATGAATTAACTCAAGTGTTTGACTCAAAAAAGAGAGAAAAAAATGCTTACAGTAGATCATTAAGCCCAGGCAAGACTTTGTAAGCACTGACAATCAGAAGACACAAAGATCCAATAAACTCCTGCTTAACTTTATTATTTAGGCTTTACTATTTTACTGTTTGGCAATTGAGAGAGGAAGGATGATCCTACAGAGATGAACTAGGGACACCCAGCTTCCAGTTTCAGGCCTAGCAAGATCCTCTCTATGACCTTGGGCAGGAAACTTCAAGTACATGAAACAGTGCTGTGCAGAGATGCCTGGGTATCGAATGGGATAAATGCGTTTGCACAGCCCTCCATACGTGTGGGCTTTATCCTTTCTTCTGAGAAGAAATTGTTCAAGTGGCCCTCTACAGCATTGCAGCATGTCTCAACTGCTTTGCAGTTTGTTCCCTACCTGTCCCTATCTATATTTGGGAAACAAAGATACCCTTCTCCTTCCTCCCTCTTTTGCTTAGCTTGTCTGTTTTCAGTTGTAAGCTCTTTAAGGTGAGGATGTGTTCTGTGTGTTTACAGCATCACGCACAGTAAGGGCTAGGTTTCACCTGGAAGCCCCAGATGTCTGTTACACAAAATGTTGGTAAGATAAAAGCAACATAAAAGCCTTTTTTGCTACTGTGCTTCTTTCTGCTTGGTTGCCTTCGGTTGATGATATTTTGATGCAAGAAGAAAGAAACTTTTAAATACTGCAAACTGGATGTGTTTTTGTAAAGGAATGTGCTATTGCATATACTCAGTGCGAAACAACAGATGTGTTATGTGGCCACTACACGGGGAGGCATCACTTTTTTTCTGTGATGTCCTGCCTACTGCTAAACTCTGTGATGTTGATCCAATAAAGGCATTTGTCCAACTTCCTGAATTGCAAGGGGTTACTTTGAAGCGAAAGGGACTAATTGTGTCTATGATATTAAGCACATGCATAAACTTTTAGAGGATTTGGGTCTGGATGGCTGCACATACATAGTACCTTATCTCAAAAGAGCGCTCTGCATCTTACTCCTGGCTGTCAATGCTGCCTTGCCCACACTCCATTTTCAATCCCATCTATGTAGGAGAGGAGGCCAGGGCACTTCTAGGAAGCATCCGAGGTTTCCCATCTCCTTCCTTGCAGGAACAGCCAGGACAGCGAAAGCTCGTGTTTTGGGGGGCAGCAAGTGGCCTCTCCAAATGAAAAGCTTGAATTATGGATGTTGGAGCATTCTCCTGGGAAAGCTGATTTTCAGTTACCTTAGGCAAAGAGAGATGTTAAATGATGTGTCCCTGGGGGTGTGCCCCAAATCACTTAGATGAAGGAGGCAGAGGTCATCCTACCATTACTTACCCAGTAGCTGTTTTCTGAAAGAAGGGGCTTACTGCCGTTTTAAGATGAGCACCTGTTCCAAGAAAAACTTCACGATTTTTAATACTTGTAAAGGGAGGTATTGCCCTCCAGCCTAGAATTAAGCATCCTACTCTGAGAGGAGCAACATTTCCCTGTAACTTTTCCAGATGGCCAGGCCAGCTGATGTAGCATCTTGATCAGCAAGCTGGTAGTTGTTCTCCCATTATTGTACGTAAGATTTATTCCAGATGCTGTGTAGGAAGGCATGGAACCTAATTCAGAATGACAGATGTCACTGCATTCCCATGATACCCTTTTGATATCCTACAAGCCTATGTAATTTGGACAGATCTGGGCCCAGATGTTATCTGCATCTGTGGCAGCAATAGGAATGCAACTATGTTCTCTGTATTGTTAGCAACAAGGCCATCTTCTCTCTCATCTCTGGTATTTCTAGACCCACATTCACACATTTCTTACTCTACCGTATAACGATGTGATAGAAGTTTACAAGTAAACAATGGAAGTGAATGACAGCCCAGTGCCTCAAATCAGAAAATCTCTGCTATTTAAGGCATGCCTGTACTCGACAAGAGTTATAAAGGGGGGGAAAAAGCAGCACAGACCAGGGAAATCACAGCAAGGCAGTGTAAGGCTGCACACATTTTGTCAAGTCACCCTTCTCTGGTGAAGCTTATCACTGTACAGTCTGATTTTGACTTTATATGCACAGTTGTAAGCCAAGTCTCAGTGCAGAGACATCATTAGCGCAGAAAAAGTGGTATTAGTAGTCATATGTCCACCGCAGGGAAAATCATCTGCTCCTCTCCTCTGCAGTCCTTCTCCTATTACTAGTATAGTCTTTTACTACTATTTTTCACTCTAAAGTTTTCAGGGGACTGCTTTGTTTCCATCTCTTTCATCCTGTCTCAGACTCGAAAGGAGTAGGCAGCACATTGGGAATGTGTTACGCTTTGTTTAGTCCAGCATCTGTCACTAGATGGAAGGAAGATTTTTGTGTGAAGTTCTCTGCTTAACAGAGCTGAGTGCACTTCTGTGCTGGGACTGCACACTTACACAGCCCAGCTTTGGCATGCTATGTAGTAAAACAGCATCATGCTAAATACCACCTTATTAGCAGTTCAGAAGACTCGGGTAAATCAATCCTATGCTAAAGACTGAGAGTGAAGTTATGTTATTTGCACCATTTTCTTTCCAGGACGTATTGTTTTCATGTCCAGTATTATTGCCTATTTTGCTCTGGGAAATGGCATTTATTCTATGACCAAGGCTGCTATTGAAAGATTCTCTGATGCTCTAAGACTGGAGATGAAGAAGTTTGGTGTCCAGGTAAGTGATGTAACGAGCAGTTGTTGTGTGAAACTCCCTGGTATTTCTAACATTGATTTTTCAGATGAGAAAGAGAGAAGTTTCACTCCTGAAACTTCCTACAGAGCTGAAATGCATCTTTTTGTGGGGAAAGAAGCAAGCGACTTGCACAAAGCATACCAGACAATGGCGTGGGGGTGGAAATTTTGGCCAAGGGAACAAGAACAAGCGTATGCAAAATAATATCTAATCTCATGCAAAGTAAGATCTGTGCATCCACATGACAAAGATAGAGATCAGAGCTGAATCCATGGGTGCAGCTTCCCCTTGGAAAGGGGTGGTTTCTCTGAGGCTTATCAGTGAGCTGGAAATCACTGAGAAAATGGACCTTGGTGATGTTTGCAGTTCTGAGCAGCTGTGGGACAGCGCTCCTCCTCTTTACGCCAAGACTGCAACTTCCACCCTTTCTCCACATCCTCTACAGTAGAGAAACTTTCCGAGTCGGGCCTGCCTGAGCAGTGCCACGCTCTGTGAAGAGCTCCTAACATTACCAGGTAACTGAAACTTTCTCTGGGGTGGCTGCAGGAGCAAAGAGCCCAGGTGTGAGCGACGTGCAGCGAAAAGGAAGGCTTGTCACCTACCTGAGGGCTTCTTTCTCTCTCTCCTCTCTCACAAACATCAGTGCTTAAAAGCTCCTTCCTTTTTGTGGGAACAGCTGCACTGCAAGAGGCAGTACTGTGCAGAGTAATTATGTTTTTATTCTCTTAACCTAAGAGGCTCTAAGAGTGCTCTTAGTGCCCTGTCTAAGCAACGCTGATAGTCAAACCTGAAGCTTAGATCACTAAGTAGCTTCACTAGGCTTTTTTCTTGGAGTCGCTCCACTGTTGAAACACTTTTCCCAAACACCAAAAGTCTTCCCTAGAGGATTTACATTGGTGTACTCTTTACGTGCACAGATCTACAGCACTGTTCATAAGCTTTGTGTTGGAAGAAATTACAGCTATGCACCTAGTAACTACCCCTCTCAGAGAAATAAAAAAATGCTATAAAATGCAAGTGATTTTACACATCCTAATACCACACAGCGTGATGAGGATTTGAACCGATTAGCTGAGGATAATCTCAAATGCATGGAAGAGCTTAGTTTAACAGGTTAGCTACTGCAGTCATTTTGGGATTTTTTTTCGCTCCCCCACCCCCAGAATAGCCCCAGCACACACTACAGTGAGCCAGGCTGACAAACATTTCCAAAATATCTGTGAGACTTATTTTTCTGTCTCCCACTGTATGCAAGACACAGGCTGGCATTTGTCTCAGAACCTACCCTGCAGAATACACAGTCCCTCTTCCCTATGCTCCCTCCCCTGCCGTGTCATTCCCTTTGTCCTTTCAGGAGAAAGTCACCCAGAGGTGGCAAGGAACGCATGGAGTTATGGCTCCGTCCCACTGAACTCTGGCCAGGCAAGCTGGCTGCCTACAGGAAACAAAGTATGTGTCTTCTAATAGAAAGAAGGCTACAGAAAAACAAGGAAGGGAAAACAACCCCATCATCTCTCCTTCTCTCTTCCAAAAAGCTCCAAAACTGGAAGTTTTCAAATTTCCTTTGTTTAAAATAAATGAGATGTTTGCTATCGGCATTAGTTTGGCTAATACTAAACACTTTTGAAAATAGCACCCTAAGGGAGGGCCCCAAAAGATGCCCCGTGACAAACCTACCTGAGGCAGCATAAGATGCCCCCAGCTATGCATACCATCTCTCTGCCGGAGCTTAACCCACATCCCTTCCTGCTCTCTGCATGCAGCGCCTCAACCCCGCCGGTACCAATCCAGCACTGGAACAGGCTGGCCAGGGAAGTGGGGGGGGCACCAGCCCCGGAGGCGGTCACAAACCCTGGAGGCGTTCAAAAAACGGGCAGACGTGGCACTTTGGGGCATGGTTTAGTAGGCACCGTGGTGTTGGGTTGATGGTTGGACTGATGTTCTTAGAGGTCCTTTCCAACCTTAATGATGCTATTCTAGTTTTACTTTCATTAAAAAATAATCCAGCCATCAAGCCAGGAAACATGAAATTAATTCTTCCTCTACCCTTAATTGGTTTAGTGGTGGACTTCGTAGTGTTAGGCTAATGGTTGGACTGATGATCTTAAAGGTCTTTTCCAACCTAAACAATTCTGTGATTCTATGATACGCAGTGCGCCGACTGCCGTGCAGGCCGAGAGGCAGGCACGTGCTGGTACTGACACACAGGTGGTAGCCTCTGGTAGATGGGCTCGGGTGGCAGATTGGAGACATTAAGGTTTTATATTACCACAGACTTTCCAGAGAACGCCTGTCAGATAGTCTTTAGAAATCAGGTCAGTTAAATGCCATGGAGTTTTTAATGTTGCATATCTACAAATAGTTTGAACAAGCCCACTGCTAACTGAGGAAAAGCGTGCATACTGTGAACATTCAGCCTGAAATTCCCCAGAAGTCAGAACAGCAGCAACAGCACATGCAAGGAAAACAGGCGGAGCAGCAAAGGATTTCTTTGTTTTCAATTTAAATGTACAGGCACAGAAATCTATGGAAATTTGCTAATGACTCCAGTGAGAGCTAGACCAGGACCTTTGGTCCCCTCTGTACTTGGCTGACGAGGTCTATTTTCCTTTTAATGACACCTGCTTGGGGAAAACAGCACTTCTTTCCCCAGGATCTTCTAATTTTCTTTGACATCTCCTTTCGTCCCAAACTGGGGAAAAAATATTACCCCTTGCAAGATTCATCACTGAGTGAAAAATCCAAAGTATGCCACTTTGGAGACATCAAAGTCATACTGAAATGCTTTGTCTCGGTATTGTCAAAACATTTATACCATTAAGCATTCTGTAAAAATCAAAGATGCACTATTGCATTCTGTGAAGGTATGCTGAGTAGTCAAAACAAGAACATTAACATCAGAGCGAAATGAGGAAGTCAGAATAAAGCACCTCTGCAATCTTAAACATTTCACGGGAATATATTTTATTTCAGTCAAGTTTTCAAGGTTAAAATTTCAACAAAGCAGCATTTTCTGGAAGAAATCTGTCTGCAGAAAGCGTTTGATCTGTTTTACTGACTATAGTATTTAATTGAATTCAGGATGACTGATTGCATCTTGATAAGTTTTACATCTTGCTTTTAGGTCTGTATTATTCAGCCAGGAAATTATGCGCAATCTACAAAAATTCAGCCACCAGTCAATGCCGAAGAGATTTGGAATGAACTCAGCGAAGAGGAAAAGGCAGTTTACAACAAGGAGTATGTTCAAGAGCGGGCAAACTTTTTCAACAACATACTCAGCGAAGGAAGCACTAATGGCAGTGAAGTTGTAGATGCTATGGTAGATGCTTTAATGTCTCCTGCACCCAAGGCACGTTACATGGTAGCAAAGCTGAAGGAAAAAGCACTGGTGTTTTTGTGTGCTTTATTCCCGACTGTTGTGATGGATTTCATTTTGTCCTATGGTCTGAGTAAAGTAAAACTTGCATAGCCTATGTTGGAACTATTCAGTGAGTCAGGTGGGGCAGTTTTTTAAAATGTGAAAGCCAGGGCTGAATCTAATGCCCCCAGAAATCAGTATAATGAAACCAATTAACTGATACAAACTTTGGAGGGTCTCCCTAGTCAGAACGGTCACTTATTCATAAGGAAAAACATACAGGACCCCATGTAAAATTAGGTAACTTTATTTCTCCCATGTGGAAAAAAAAATACAGCCACTTACACTGCTTTAGGTATTGCCTAGAAAATTTAATGCAGCTTTTTCTAATGCAATACCAGGTTACTGTGTCACAGACATGGCAGAGCCAAAATGGAGCATATCCTACAGGGCAACTACAGCAGAGATGAAAATACCTTATTTGTAGGAACCCCAGTAGTAATTTATTAGGGGTGATGGGAAGAGGTTAATGAAAAAGCTAGGAATGAGCAATAGACCTCAAAATACTTTGAATGGAGTTAAGTGTCTGTAGAAAGTTAGGAAGTGTCAAATAATAAAGCTGTAATATGGAAACAGTGTCTTGGCTAACTACAGTTCAGTACTTTTTCAGGTGTTCTGGATAAATCTGTAACAAAGCCAATATATCATGGACTTTGGAAAATTAAATAGCATATTCCATTGACAAATGAATATTCAGTCGTAAATAAACTCTATCTTTTATCTAATGTCTGGAGTAATCAATGCGTTAACCTGAAGTGTAGTCAGAGCGCTAAACACCAAGGTGACAGATACCAGTATGCAGTAGCAGCCTGTAGCTTAGAAAGAATATATTCAGCCTGGAGCTCTGGTTTTGCTGCTATTACAGGGAATAAGGTCTGATGAAAAAAAAAAAAATCTATTAAAATGAACGCAAAAACTTTAGTAACGTGTATCTGTGAGTAACAGAGCACAGTGGCTTCATTAGCAGTCTCCTACTAACTGTTGTGGAAAAGATTACCGGTTTACACATACACAGTTTTAAATTTGGCTTGGTTGCGGCATGGCACAAAATCCAAGAACTCTGGGACCAAAACATCGCAGAGGAGCTGGGATCAGCTGTGGTGACACTGGTAAATACGGGGCAGCAGCACGGATCATCAGCTGCCCCCATGCCAGGTCTCCCATATCAAACCAAAGACCCTGCTGTAAGTTGACCTGGTTAACTTTTCGGTCTGAACCAGAAACTGCATCGTAGATCTGGGAAGTCTGTCTTAATGTATTTAATTAATTATTGAGAAAAGTTACTCTCTCTTGTGGTGGGTAATTGGGCAGTCTGAGTCAGGAACATAGGTGAGATTAGCAAACTGACTGACAATTCCAGGTCCTCTCCTGGTAACACTCAGCAGTGGAACAGCCATCTTACTGGACTTCTTTTAGATTGTGGAACATCTTTCTTCTCTTTCCAAATGCTGGACCCATCCCTGGAGCTGGCAAGAGGACAAGCCAGGGCTCTCACCAGTTCCACAGCCCGTCAACAGCAATGTAATCAGATCATTATCCATCCACTCCCCTCATTTAACCACAACGGAGCAAGGCCAAGCAAGGGAATAGGAACAAGGCTTATTCTAACTGAACCAATTGATTTCTTGTACAGGAATTCCCCCTGCTTGACCTCAGGGATTTCAGCAGCCTTAGATTGCTTTGGAAGAGTTGCTTCCATGCTCTTAGCCATTCTTTGTGCAGATTACCCTTCCTTACAGTAAGTAGCACTGAACTCAACAAGCAGCTTTGAAACCCAGATGTTTATCCATCAGGCTCAGGATACATGTGCTTCTCTCTGCCCCAAAGACAACATCGCTTTCCATTACATGGTCTCCCTTCTATTTGCATTTCTAAAAGCTACTGCAATAAGTTGTGGCCAAGAGCCAGCACCACTAGAAAATCTGCCTTCCAGATACCGATGACACGAAATAACTTCCAACTGAAAATTCCTCCTTTATTTGCTGTGTATGGTGGTGAAGCATACAATCAATATTTCAGTAGCCTCATGTCAGGTGAGCAACACTCCAGAACATTTATTCCTTTGTCTTGAAAACTAAGAACTTGCAATGTGTAGTATCTCACACGGGGTACAGCGACAGGCTGGATAAGAACAGATGGGACAAATGAAGGCAGTTTGTATTTTCATTGCTGTCTAACCTGTCAGCATGGAAGCTAACTGAAAAACAGCTACAAAATTATTATCTTTTGTCTTCCCCCTCAGCTTTTTAATATTATGATCTGCATACAAAGAACTAATCAAGAGAGGGTCAGAGCTTCAGTTATTAACAGGCCTGATGCACTCCCACCAAAAGTCATCTGGAATCTTCCCACCGAGTTATATGTGTGCCAAGGCACAGCGTTGGACAAGTACACATAAAAAAAAGTAGCAGGCATGACTGCAGAGTCCCTGGGCTTAATAGGAAAGAAACCCTCATAAGAAACGGTGATGAAAGGGGTGCAGCACTCCCTCCTCCACAGGTCTTGCAGGGTACAGAAGTTGCAGGATTAGTAACAGAAGCTTTTAGCAAACAAACGTTGCTAACCAAGTCAGCGACAAACTCCGAGGACTCTCAGAGCTGTCAGCTCTTCAGCCGAACTCCTGCTCACCTACGAATCACTGGAAAGCTCACCCAGCTAGGGATCCCAGCCCTCATCCTGGCCCACACGGTACCTGGGGAGCACATGCTGGGCAGCGCACAATTGCTGGACCCCCCCCACTATCCCGTTTGTTACTTTGCCGCAATATCGGGTGAGGAGAGCCTCCCTCTTACCCAGTAACCCTGAAATCACCTTTTCCTCAAGTCAAGTTAAAGTGCAGATGCATACAAGAAGCCTATTATTTACAACATCCAAAATAAGCAACAGTTACGGTGTTTTAGGAAAAACTTAGGTGACAAAAATAAAAGAGAAAAAAACCCCATTCTATTGACACTACTCTTAAATCTGAAATGCTCCCCTCCCAATACCCAGCTAACCTGCTGCAGACACTTTCCTGGGATTGTTTTTCTATGTGGTGTTCAGCTCAGATTGCATTCAACAGAGAACTTCTTGGCAGAACACATTAGCTTTTATCACTCCTTGTCTTTTACAAGCCCTGCTGACAGTTTGGGAAAAATTTAATTTTTTCCCTTGAGAACAACCACCACAAAAGAGATGCAGCTTTCCTCCCAAGTCTCTCCTCCAGGGACACAGTATCAGGGACCCAACCAAATATATAAGCAGACATGATAGCACCATGGGTTATTGGAATGCTCCAGCATTCTAATGGCTGTATGAACATGCACATGGATTTTACAGAGGCTTGGTCAGGAGGTAAATTCCAGCCATCTTGAGGCTTTCTTACTAAGCCACTTACATCAGTGGTTTCATGGATTTTCTCTTTTATGCAAGGGCTTATTCCTAAAAGCGCATATTAATTGGCAGAAAGAATGAGCATTGTTTTTGACAGCAAGCAATTACAGAAAGAGTATAAAGAAGAGCAAAAAAGTTAAGCTAAATCAGCTTAGTAAGTTGTGCGTTGATCTGAGTGACATTAACAGCTTCATACAATGTCATCAAAAAAGAAACAGAGCGGAGCCCAGGAAATACACATATAACACAAGGAGTAGCAGGGTTTTGCCTACCAGCCCAGTTTTGAGGTAGTTGAGCTGCTGCGTGAAACAAAGATAAGCTCTAGAAACTCATCGTTCCTTCCAGGAGACTACTCCCCTAACTTGAGAGGGCACAGTTTGAGAAATGCGCCCATGACAACACCCCAGCCCGGGCCGCAGGCTGTTCCAGTGGGCCGTACCTCTGCACTCACAGTCAGCGTTGCCGTGGGCATCACCAAGAGTTACACACACCCGCCCCGACCAGCTGCAGCAGCACTTGGCTCCCACTGCAGTGTTATGGATGGGCTAGGCAGAGAGTTTTATTGACGCTTAGCAATATTAACACCCTGATTTGATCTCGTGCTCCCTCAGTGGAACTCACAGCTAGCTGAAACAGTCCAGATGACCTTCAGAATTAGCCAAACGTGTAAGTTTGTGTTATTCTCCCAAGCTGGCAAATCTGAACAAGGAGATTTTGGGTGTAATGCACCATACAGCAGATTTTTTGCAGTAGCATCAGAATCCAGAGAGATTAGTAACAGTAATAATTACTTGCGTCGTAGAAGGCTTAAGTAAAAACCATGTAATCTCCAAGCATACCTTCCAGCTAAAGTCAGACTATCACCTAGCCCACGTTCCACCGATGTCAGCAGGACTCTAGTGCCAACCAGCAAGAGTCTCCTTACGGTGCACAGCCTCCTTCCAGAGGTCAGCTGTGGGTCGTTTGTAGCATCCTTGTGCTTTTATATCAACAGATAAAAACCAGCACAATACAAAGACGGCAAGTGATATTGAGGATGACAGCTATATTATTCTGCTTGTTTCATGCAGGGACTGTGTAGTGCTGTGAGTCTGGCACCTTCTGCTAGCACCAAATAAAACTTCACAGCCTTTGTATTTCAAATACTTTGAAGCAGCTGTGCAGCAGTGAAGTCTTTTCATGTGTAATTAGACAATTTTGGAGCTGTAAAGTGAGCATATATTGGTAATGGAGGCTTTACCTATCATGATGGAGCATGTATGTTGTAGGAGCAAAAGGAGGTTAATGTTTAAGAGAGCATAAAACAAGGGAAAAACATATATGCTCCTCAGTGATAAATGTTCTTTGCAATAGTCCTCATTAGGAAATTATTTCCTACTCATTATCTCATTATCAGATGCTGACACGGTGGGCAAAACCTATCTGCTATGGGCTCCACAGATTGCATTCATCCAGGTAACCATGAAGCCAGTGGAGCACCTCTGGCATGGTCCCAGGAGAGGGCATTGCTCCTTCCTGACTGTGAGCTG